AGTGCTACTATTATTATTAGCACCTCAGTGATTCCAGAAAGGAAAGCAGCACTGGGCACAGGGCCAAAGGGGTCAAGGGATGCCTCAGGGACCAGCTGCCACCTAGGCCTCCACCAGCAGTTGAGCAGCTTCCACCTCCTTGCCCTGGGCCCTGCCTCATCCCTCCCACTGGCCCAAGCCCCCTGCTGAGACCCTATTCTGCCTGGCATGTAGTCCCTGCCTGCCAGTCTGTGCCCCACCTTCACCCACAGGCTGTGCCAGTCAAACTGGTCTCCACACCCTGTCCTGCAGCCCACAGGCCCAAGCACCAGGCCTCCACTCCCTTCTTCCCATGTAATTCACCCATGTCTTCTTGGCCCCCCAGTCTGAACTGATCTTGAGCCTTGTTGCTTAGGGAGCGTTTTATCAAGACATCTCCTCGGGATGTTTACTCTCTTCTGACACTGAGAGCTTCCTTCCTCTCCAGCTCCCAGAGGCCCAGCCCACCCCGGACTTCCAAGGGGCCCAGGGGTCTGCTTGCCTGATTAATGAGGTTCCATGGCAACCAGAGCCTGGGAGGGTGGAGGGTAGCAGATGGAGGGACAGGCAGAAGGAGGGGAATCAGCAGCTGGCTCAGCTACCCCGCCCTGCAGAGAAGGCCTCCCAGCCAGGCCTGTCCCCAGAGCTCCAGAGGCCCAGGCCTGCACCTGGCAGTCTAGCATCAAGGCAGGAAGGAGGACTTCCTCAACGGTTCTTCAACAGTCTGGCCCCCAAGATGCTCCCCTCACCTCCTCAAGCAGCCATGCCCACTACCCAGCCACAAGTTCTGGTCTAGGGCCAGCAAGTCTGTTCAAATCCCAGTCCCACCACTTACAGCCCTGTGACCCAGGGCAAGTCACTTCCCCTGCCTGGGCCTCAGTTTAGATGGGCACAGAGACAACAACGAGCTCACAGCCCTGGCTGAGTTTTAGCTGGCGTAAAGTCGGCCAGAGGCCTGGCATGCAGGCAGCTCCAGTTGAATACACGTGGGCCATTATTACTACTGAGTCTGACCGGCTCCGGTGAGGAAGCTGAGGCCCACAGCACAGGGGAGCAAACAGGGACTGACCCGAGGTCACCCCGAGCCCCAGGGCGGGGCCCGGAGGCCCAACCCAGTCTCGGCGCCTCAGCCCACCCCTCCCCCCCCGCCGCTGCCACCGGACCCAAAACCGCACCCCGCCAGGGTCTGCGCAGGGGGCCCAGGCAGCACACTCGGCCCAGTGTCCCTGGTGTTCGTACCGGCGGGCGACCGAGAGCGGGGCGCGGCGCGCTGGGTGTGGGCCGGGGTGCCTGCGGCGTGGCAAACAGCAGCAGGTCGGGGTCGCGGGGACCCGCGGCAGGCACTGAGGGGCCGGCGGGAGCCGGCGGGGCGCTGGGCTCCTGCGCCGTGGAGATGATGACGATCTGCGAGGAGTCAAGCAGCCGCAGCGCGCCGGCCCCGAGCAGGGCCTCCAGCGCCGGCGCGCATGGGCCGCCCGCGGGGGCCACGGCCATGGCGCTCACGGCCCGCGCGGCCCCGGTGGCAGGCGGCGGCGGCGGCGCGGGCCCATGGCGGCAGGCCGCGGCAAGGGCTCGATCCCACTCTGGATCCCGCTCCGCCCCCGGCCGCCGCTGCCTGCAAAGTCCCGGCCACTTTTGCGCGCCAAATCCTTTTTGCCGCGAAAGAGCCACGAGCCGCCGAGAGCTTCCACCATTGGCTGCCCAGGCAGTGACGGAGGCGACGGCGACGGCGCCCATTGGCTGAAGTGCACCGGACCGGCGGCGGAGGGCGGAACGGGGCGGCGGTGCGAAGAGACACGGCCAATCCGGGAACGGGGCGCGCGCAGGCTTTGTCAGGGCGGTGCCAGGCGCGTCCTCAATCCCCGCCCCCAGCTGGGGCGCCCCCACTCGGGGCGCGGCAGCCCGCTAGCACTTCGATACCTCTGACACCATCGATCCCTCTAGATGGAGGCCTTAAGGACTGGATGTCCAGTGTGTACATCTCAGCGTCTGCCAACCCCACTTGATCCCTAGACAGCCCCACATACACCTGTAGCCCCAGTGCTCTCAGCCCAGATCTCTAGAAACCGCCCCTTCTCTTTTCTTGGTTCTCAAGTCCCCCTCCTAAGCCCCAGACACATATCCCACCCGTGGCCCACCAGTGCCATTTACTTTAAAATCCTGCGCCCACCCTATCCCTCTCATCCAGAGCCCAAGCAGAAGGTGGCTGCTAGGAAATGGGGAGGATGTGTGTCCCAATACAGCTTGGGGTTTTCCTGCAAGCCCCCTTTTATCTTCAATAGCCAACGCACAGCTGATTGAACTTACTCATTCATTCATTTAGCAAACGTTTGGAGAGCCTGCTCTGTGCCCTATTCTGAGTTCAGACCTTGAGGAGCTTAGTGAAAAAGGGAGGAGGGAAATCAGAGAGGTAACAAATGTTCACAATAAATGAGGAATTCACACCCTTAAACTAACTCTATGTTAGTTGTCTCACAAAGGGAGGAAGTGAAGACACTGAGCATGAAAATGCATCTAATTCAGAGGCCCTGGGACCTCTCCATCAGCCATTTTCATTGCTCAGATCAGCTGATTTGACCCATATTGTCCTTTCCTCGGTGCCAACACTGAGGGTAGAGATGTGAGACTTGATAATTTCTATGAACTTGCCTGCCATCTGGTGGGGATGCCCCACAAAAGAAAAGAAAAGAAAAAAACTAACTAAAAGACAAGAATCAAATCCCCTGGGAAGGGAGGGAGGGAGGAATTAAAAAAAAAAAATCAAACCCTAGGCCCAGCATAAACATCACTTCCTCCAGAGAGCCCTCCAGAGTTTCTTCTTTCATTGCCTGATGTTGCCTCTGTTCCAGCACTTACCACACGCAGTTTTTTCATCTTCCTCTCGTACTAGATTCCTCCCAACACTGGTGTGAGCACAGCTCAGAGCAGGTGCTGAGAGGAGTTATAAGGCAAAACAGGCTGATGCTGGAGGCTATCTAGAAAGCAACAGGAGACCCTGATTGTCCAACAGTAGTCCTTAGGCCCCTTAGGCTTCAGAATCACCTGGGCACTTGTTTACTTTGGGCCCACCCCAGTTCTTGCCAATTTAGAATCTCTAAATGCTCAGGAATCCACATTTGCACAAACAATCCCCCACCCCCATCCAGGTAACTTTTATGCACCATTACATTGAGAACAAATTGGTACACCTGTTAAACCAAAATGTGTGGTACAGTCTCAAATTACAGTCCTTCAAGGATACCTCTCATTTGTAAGATAGGCAAATTGCCCTGGCCTTTCCAGGTTTGCCATGAGGATGAAAAGCATAAAGGATATAAAGGATCTTAAAGTGTTTTTATAAACTATGAAGTAGTTTAGGAAAACAGTAGTTTTCTAAGCAGTTTGTGAAGTTATTCATTGCAAATCCCAGACTGTGTCAGCATGAGAAAAGACTACACAAAACTATGTAGTTTCTATACAGGCTATAAAGATGAGAAAACTGAGGCCCATTAGGGGTAGGGACCTGTGAAGCCTGCCTTAATAGAATCTGGCCTACACTGGATCCCCAGCTATGGGGTCAGCCTGCCCCCCTTTTTCTCCCCCGATAGACAAGTCACTATTAGAATAATGTCTTATTTTTAAAAACCAAGCTAGAACCTGACAGAGGGAGAGAGCACCCAGCAGCATTCCCATCCCAGATGAAGTTTCCTTTCTTCACATCTTCCCAAAGCATCTCAGTAACAGTAATGTTCACTTTATAAAGCCCTCTTGTGCCCAATAGTCATTCAACAAACATATTGATCACCTGTCCTGTGTCAAGAGCACTATACTGGTTGATGGAGAAGGAAGACATAGTTATTATTGGCCCATTTTATGATGAAGAAACTGAGACCCAAAGGACATGAGCTTACTTAGCAGGTGAAAAGTCTATTATTCAGGCTTGGTAGGCCCAAACCAAGGGCTTTCCAAAGCCCTACCTTCCCCAAAGTATTCAAGTACACACCCTCCCATGGAGAAGCAGGTGCACTCCTTCCCACAATCCTTCTCCTGCTCAGCAGAAGGTAGTGAATATCAGAATTCCCAGTGGGAAAGCAAGGAAGAGATAAGGGCCTTCTGTATCTATTAATACCCACTTGAAAGCACCAAAGGCCTGATAGATGGGACTCCTTGGCTCTAAGCCTGGCTGATCCTGATGAGGCTGTTCTCAAAGTCAACAGTTCTCCTCAGGCTGGTAGGCTTCAAAAAAAATCCATAATTACTGGGCAGCCACTTGCATTGATTATCTCATTTCAACCTGATAATCCCATTAATGAAGCTTATTTATCCACAGGGTGTGGGAGGAAGGGGTCTCAGAAAGAAGCACTCAAAAGTCAAGGTCACAGAGTAGCACTGAAATAGGAACTTAGCCAATAGAAAATCTAGGGCCTGTCCTTCCTATCCTGCCACCCTCTGCAAATACCCTAAGAGCCAGGCTCAAGGCTGTCAAGATTATAATGTATGGTTTGTAAAAGGTATTATGGTAAATAATGACTTAATTAGTAGGTGCTTACCCATATCACCACTTCCACCAACTCCTTACTCTACAGGAGTCCAAAGAAGTGGAAGCTCCTGGGCCCATGATCCTTGACCTGGAGACATCTTTCCCTTGATTCTTTCCAAGAGGCAGGATGGTGCAGAAGTGATAGCATGAACTTCTAAATCAGGTGAATGTAAACAGGACCTTGGTCTGTGTGACCTTGACAAGTCAATACACTTCCTCTGAGCCTCACTCATTCATTCCCCAAATAGTTTATTGAATACCTATTGTGTGTCAGACATTGTACTAGTTGCAGGGGAGACAGCTAGAAGCAAGAGACCCACCTCTGACACCTGGAGCTCATTGTCCAGTGGGATAGTCAGAATGATTTCTATGAACCTGCATAATACATTTGTTAAGAAGTTTCACAAAAGACCAAGTAAGGCAAGGCTCTTTATTTCACATATACCACCTCCTTTAAACATACAATGACTTAATTTTTTAAAAATTCATTTTAGAGAGAGATAGAAACATTGATTTGTTGTTTCAATTACTATTCACTCCCTGGTTGATTCTTGCATGTGCCCTGACCAGGGATCAAACCTGTCACCTTGGTATATCAGGATGACACTCTGACCAACAGAGCTACGTGGCCAGGGCTGTGGTGACTTAATTTTATTAAGGGCACAGAGGCATCCATTGTTGAGTTCTGGCAGAAGGAGGTGGAGAGTTTTATGTCTGCAACATCATATTAGTCTTGAATGAATGATCCCTCCTTGCTACATGAGTTCTCTGTGACTGACAGCTTACAGTCGCTAGACATGTTCGGTCACAGTGCCAGTCTGGCTGTGTCTGAACACAGACCCCTCACCCATCCAAGAGGCCACCTATCACAGGTGGGAGTCATGCAGACCCCAACTATTCGGCTTGGCTAGATGACCTTGAGAAGCGATTTACCCTCTTGAAGAGCTGTGCTTGCTCCATGAGTAGAACAAGGGGCAAAGGGTCCTTTACAGGATGGGTGTCAAAGTTAAATGAGAAAATGACGAGCAGAGTTTGCAAAGTGGTCAACAGGTGTGATACAACTTCCCTACAGAGTACTTTTTCTGAATTATGAATTAGTTTAATCTAAAAAAATTGAGAAATGCTATGTGAAAATTCAAATATCTGGCTTACTTTTAAAACAATAATACCTGTGCAGGAGGGTGGGTGGAGGTGGAGGAAGGTATGGGGGAATAAATAGTGATGGAAGAAATAAATAACAATTTTTAAAAAACAGTAATTACCTGGCTAAGGTGGCTTAGTGGATTGAGTGCCAGCCTGTGGACCAAATGGTCACAGGTTCGATTGCCAGTCAGGGTACATGCCTGGGCTGTGGGCCAGGTCTCCAGTTGGGGAGTGTAAGAGGCAACCACACACTGATGTTTCTCTCCCTCTTTCCCCCCTCTCTAAAACTAAATAAACAAATCTTTAAAAAGAGAGAGAGAGAACTGGGACACCCTGCAAATATACCATTAAAAATAGTAATAACTGGCAATATTAGCCAGGTGTCCTGGAGCCCAGGAGTTGCTGTCCCTTTGACCCTCCAGGTCACCACAGTCCCTGCCTGGCTTGCCTCACTTGGTATTTGTCATTCCAGGCACCTGAATTTGCAACCCCTGATGCCTGTGCCCGGCATGGAGTAAACACCTGGTAAATATTAACTACTATTAATGATATTATTACTGCCAAGAAACCACCCGCACCGGCACAGCTTCTCTGCTTTGCAGGTAACTAAAGAGATGTGGGCACGGAAGAGTAAGAAAAATGGCCATTCGTGATGCATCAGAAGAGATGGGGCTTAGTGCCAGCCAACAGCTGCCTGGCTGTGTGGCCTTGGCCAAATCCCTGGCTATTAGTTCGGTCTTCATGTTCAGCGGGGTGTGGGCCAGAGCATCTAAGGTCCAATTTAAGCACATAGGTCTTAGGTCTAAAAGCAAGCCTACCTTCCTCCGACCCCCTTTACTCCCTGAGCTCGTGCTCTGCGGACCTCTCTCCTCTCCAAGGTCTACCCCGTGCCACTTCTTTTCTTTATATCACCTCAGCGTGTGAGGAGGGATCATATTTGGGGGGGGGGGTTGGGCGGGTACAGACATAGTAGTTATGCCTGCCCTGACCAGGGGTGCAGTAAGTTGGTAGGGGACCCTTAGAGCAGAGGGGCTCTGTTTTTCCATCTATAAAATGGGGATGATAATGATGATAGTAAGTGTCTATTTGGTTGGGTTGTTGGGACATTAAATTAGTTATTAAAGTGTTTAGGACAGTCAGCTGTTATTAAGAATGAAAGACAAAATACTGAGGCAAGTAGCCTGCACTTCTGGATTTTTCTAAAAGAGACAAGAAAAGCTGTTCTTACTGGGCTGCAGAACAGGAGAGTTCTCCTGAAGCAATCCTGCACTTCCTCCCAAACTGGGAGACAAGGCACGGAATACACTGAAGGGCAGTGAAGTATGCACTAAAGACAAGCCCATATCCCACTGATTCTAAGACTTTTCTCTTTTCATATTTTAACATCTCTGAAATTGAGGTACATCATACAATCACTGGCATGTCCATTTCAGCTCAGTAGCTCTTTTCTTTCTTAGAGGCTCAAAATAATGTTGTACCTCATCTTTGATGGTGTCTCAGAAATAATAAGACATGGTGTCAAAATAGCTCATTATTTTGCCACCATAGTGTCTGGCACAGTGCCTGTCATGTCATAGGCCTCAGATTATTCTCATGATCTTCAGCATCCCCAGCACATTCGAGGTTGGCCATGGTGGAGCAAACAGCTTTTCTTTCTTTTGCTCATTTTCTCACTGACACCTGCTGACCTGCATTTGGTCCCTGGGTTGGCAGGCCCATGGCAAATGCGGCCAGGAAGGGGAGCAGGGAGGGCTCAGGATGGAAAGAGAAAGGCTTTTTATAATATATTGAGATTCAGAGAGGAGGAGGCAGAGATTTTTTTTAAACAACAACAAAAAAATCCCTGCTGGAAGCCAGAGTTATATATATGCCAAACAGGCCAGGAAACGCAGCAGGCCTCCTGGAGCTGGCAATGAACCGAAACAGGGGCCTTGTGTCCAGGCCACTGGCTGGCTGAGGGGGCATTGTCAGGGCCTGGCCTTGTCTGGGAAGAGGGGGGTTGAAGGGGTAGAGGGAGTATGTTCCCATGACTCCCTGGGGAGCGACAACAATCAGGGCCAGCTGGGAAGCCCAAATGCCAGGGGCCTGGTGGACGGGTGGCAGGCCCCATGGGGGCCATGGAGGACTATAGGGGGCTGAGGAGGCAAGGCGGGAACAAGGTTGCGGGGGGTAAAGCCTAAGGAGGGGAAACATGAGGGTAATTTGCTACACCCTTCTCCCTCACCCCCATAGTTCTGGGCTGCTGAATCCCTCCAAATTATACCCGACATCTGCCCACTTTTCTCCATCTCAGGGCCCCAGTGCGGTCCAGGCCATCATGGTCTCTCACCTGGACCACTCTGTGGCTTCCTCAGTAGGGACTTGTTTCCAGCCTGGCTCCTACACTCGAGTAGTCAGAAGGGTCTTTCTAAAATGTAAATCATATCACATCACTCCCCTGCTTAAACCTGCCAAAGGCTGCCCAGCATACTTAGAAGAAAACCCAAACTGCTTCTCTGGCTCACAAAGCCTGCCTGACAAGCCCACTAGCCTCCAGGACTCCATCTCCAAAGCTCCAACATGCCCCCCAGTGCACTCTGCCCCAGCCCGCGGGTCTCCTGCCAGGCCCTATATGCTTTCAGCTCTCCCCCTCCTCCAGGCTCATGCACTTTGCAGATTCTGTACTGTAAACAATTATAGGTGCTTTCGCTGTTGCATATTTGTGGCATGCATTTCTGCAGCAAACATTTTTGTTGTAGAACTCATGAACCATAATGCAATTTTGCCATAAAAAAAGATAAAATCACAACAAATAGAGGGACATTAAAAAGGATATAATGAGAATAAAAATATTTTTTCAAAGGACATCATAAACATGAAAAAATGAGTAACAAAATTAAAAATGTGTGTAGATTCACCACAATACTACGAAAATAACTGATTCTATTTCCCAGATTGTACCTAAGCACTTGTCTTCATTCCATGGGACATGTGGATTCAATTCCACTGCCTCAAACAGGGCCCGTGGCTTCTCTTTCTCCCTCCAGTGTAGTGTCTTTCAAAATAAGAAACCAACTCATGGGGCAAATCATCGTCATCTGGAAGAAATGGCAGGTCTTTTAAGACCACCACCAAGTCTACTTGTCACTGTATTATGAGAGCTCTAGGTAAAACATACAGGGTCTGACACAAACATGCCCCCTTTTTATTACATAAAAGTCTTTTATTACAAAATCCTAAGCATGTAATTCTGTAACATGTGTTATGTAACATTCTGTAACATATCACACTCAAATACACCACACGACATTTTAGGTGAAATGTTCAAATTGCTGTCCATCTCGTGTGAGACATTCACATACCCCACCAACCACACTCGATGGCGTTACTTCTGCCGGACCCTGTATATATAGTCATCCTCCTTACCCACAGTTTTGCTTTCCACAGCTTCAGTTACCTGTGGTCCACTGTGGTCCAAAGTATTAAATAGAAAATTCCAGAAATAAACAACTCATACATTTTAAGTTGTATGCGCGTTCTGAGTAGTGAATAAAATCTCATGCCGTCCTGCTGTCCCACTCATATGTCAGTCATCTCTTGTCCAGTGTCTCCAGGCTGTAGACACTCCTGCCCGTCAGTCACTTCGCAGCCATCTCAATTGTCAGAGACTGTGACAGTATCACAGTGCTCGTGATCAAGTAACCCTTATTTTACTTAATAATGGCCCCAAAGCGCAAGAGTCGTGATTCTGGCAATTTGGACATGCCAAAAAGAAGCCATAAAGTGCTTCCTTTAGGGGAAAGTTCTCAACTTAGTAAGGAAAGAAAAAAAATTGTATGCTGAAGTTGCCAAGATCTATGGTAAGAATAAATCTTTTATCCAGAAGTTGTGAAGAAAAAACAAGAAACGTGTTCTAGTTTTGCTGTTGCACCTCAAACTGCAAAAGTTATGGCCACAGTGCATAAGTGCTTGGTTGAGTTGTAAAAGATGTTAAATTTGTGGGTGGAGGACATGAAGAGAAAACGTGTTCCAACGGATGATGATGTGTTGCGCCAGAAAGCATTTAAGCCTGCACAGACTTCAGAGGGATTTCCTGAAATGAGCGACACCAAGCCACTTACTGTAAGGGATGGTTACACAGATTCTGGAACAGATTTAAAATAAAAAATATAAAAATTATAGGAGAGAACCATATTCAGATAGCTTTTATTACAGTGTAATTTTTCTATAAATTATTGTTAATCTCTTACTGTGTGCAATTTATAAACTTTATCATAGACATGTATGTATAGGGAAAGACATTATATACACACGCATAAGAGATCTGCCCAGAAAGTATACAGCCACGTATTATAAAAAATAGAGACATTTACTGAAGAAGATACAAGAAATATTGTACACAGGACAATAACACCTCAGTCCCCTTCAAAGTAGGCACCTTGGGATCTCACGCAGTTTTCTCAGCGTCTCTTCCACTGTCAAACCACTTTGCAAAATCCTTTGTTGGAATCACAATCAGCTGCCCTGTTGTATTTTCCTGAATCTCATCAATGGTCTGAAATCTCTTCCCTTTCAAAGGTGATTTTAGTTTTGGGGAAAGCCAGAAGTTGTAAGGCACCAAATCTGGGATGTAAGGGGGCTAAGTCACCTGGATGAATTGATGTTTCACCAAAAAACTGCATAAGACATGATGCATGAGTGGACGGACACGTTATCATGATGAAGCTGCTTATTACCAGCTGTCCTTAACTGTGGCTGTTTTCATTGTATTGCATCTTTCAACTGATGAAGACCGTTGAGGTGGTACTCCTTATTAATTGTTTGGCCCAGGGGGTGCATACTGGTGACGAACAACAGCTTCCCAATCAAAAATCACGGTCAACATGGTCTTGATCTTGCTGCAACTTTGCTGCGCCTTCTTCAGGCGTGGAGAACCAGGCGACTTCCATTAGAACAACCAGGCCTTTGTTTCTGGATCATAGCCATAGACCCATGATTCATCTCTGGTTATGACCTTCTTGAGGAAATCCGATTCACTGGTAGCAGTTTGAATCAAATCATTAGCAACTATGGCACAATATTCCTTCTGCTCTGGTAGTAGAAGCCTTGCAACAAATTTTGCCATGACATGTTTCATGCCCAGATCCTGCATCAAAACCTCGGACACCATAGTTTTGGAATCCCCAGATCAGGTTCTAGTTCTCACACTATCAGTTGCAGATCTTTGTTGATTGCAGCCCATACAAGTTCAAGATTCTCAGGTGTTCTGCCTGTTTCAGGCCTTCCAGAATGTGGATTACTTTTGACAGATTCTCGACCATCTTTGAAGTATTTGTGCCACACTTTTATATGCACTGCATTCATTGAACCGTCCCCCAAAGCCTTCTGAATCATTCGAATAGTTTCCACAAAGGAATGTTCCAGCTTAATGCAAAATCTGATGCAGATTCATTGCTCTACTCACTCAGTCCTTTTAAATGCAATAGCCACACTGTACACATGCTCACTCAACAGCATCTACCGTCCCCACTGACTAGTACAGCAAAGTCCTCATTGTTCATGTATGCACATTTCAGTCCACTCCCCTTGGCTGCCAGGTTACATCAATGTCTCACAAACCATCCTAGGTATATTAATAATGGCTAGACTTTTCCCAGACAGACCTCGTGTATGTGTGTGTGTGTACACACATGGTTCAGAAGTATCCTCAGTTCCAGGAATGCACTGGAGGTCTTAAAACATATCTCCCTTGGGAATAACTGCAAGAACTTTATCAATGGAGAAATGAAACCAAACTGGTAACTAGCTTAAATACATTGTCTGAAACCAATGAAAAATGAAACCAAACCAACCAACAACCAAATCAAACTGTCAGCCAGTTATTTTATCTTTTATAAGGCAAAATAGCCTTATGGTCAATTATTTATGCAACAAAAATGTTTATGTTTGTGGCAAAGATGCTTACAGCTAAAGGACCGAACACAACTGGGAACACCCTTCCTCCACATCTTTGCACCACTCTCTCATCATTCAGGTCTCAGAACAGACGTCATCTCCTCAGAGAAGCCTTCCCAGGAAAACAGACCCTCTTGTTCTCTCTTCCAATGCATTCTATTACACTGCCCTGTACTATGGACCTCATATCGCCTACCACTTTGTTACTATTTCTTATCCTCATCCAAGGACATGCCTATTGATTTTTAGAGAGAGGGGAAGGGAGGGAGGGGAGAAATACATTGCTGTGAGACAGGAACATTGATTGGGTTGCCTTCCATACACACCCTGACTGGGGACTGAACCTGCGACCTAGGTCTATGCCCCACTGGGAATGGAACCCATGACCTTCTGGTTTACAGGATGACTCTGCAACCAATTCCAAACAACTGAGCCACACCAACCAGGGCATGCCTACCACTTTGGAATCATCTTCCTTATGTATTCATTCATCAGTCTTCCCTCCCTAGACTGTAAGCCCCAGGTGGGCAGCAACTGGCTTCTTTCACTGCTGAATCCTAGCCTCCAATATCACTGAGAACTTAGTAAGGGACCAGCCAACATTAGCTGCTACTTTCATCTTTCTGTGCTCAGGGCTTGGTAAACCATGACAGCTGCCATGTGGTCAGGCTGGGGAGGTCACTCTCAAGCAAGAATTCTAAATCTGCAATCTATGACCCCAAGTGCCATGAACTTGGACAGGAAAAAAAAATTCCACCTACATTTTCACTAGCCTCTCATTGACATATAACATTTCCATCAATTCTAAGTGTCAGCAACAAACCAGAGGCCTGTTAGCAGTAGCTGGGTCTTCATCACTGATAGAAATCATAGTGATTTCCATATCCTGCCACAGTTGCTACAGTATCTTGAGATACTGCTTATGTTTACAGCACCTGTGAAATCGTGGTGGTTTTGGATCATGCTATTTAATGTTTAAAAAAAAAGAACGTATGCTACTAAATCAAAAATTTTAAAAACACATTGATCATTGTTTCAATATTCAATGTAACTGTTGTCTTTTTTATTTTAAAGACTTTTACTTATTTATCTTTAGAGGAGACGGGAAGGAGAGAGGGAGAGAAATATCAATGTATGGTTGCCTCTCATGCGTCCTCTGCTGGGACCTGGCCTGCAACCCAGGTATGTGCCCTGACTGGGAATCAAACCGTGGTTGTTTGGTTTGCAGGCCCGCACTCAATCCACTGAGTTACACCAGCCAGGGCTTAACTGTTGACTTTTTTAATCCTATGTATTTTGTTTTATGAGTTTTAAAAACAGCATTCTGCCCTGGCTGGTGTGGCTCAGTGGATTGAGCATCGGCCTGCAAACCAAAGGGTCACGGGTTGGATTCCCAGTCAGGGCACATATCTGGGTTGTGGACCAAGTCCCCACTCTGGGGCACATGAGAGGCAACCACACACTGATGTTTGTCACCCTCTCTTTCTCCCACCCTTCTCCTCTCCAAAAAATAAAATAAAATAAACCTTAGAAAATAAGTTGGATATGACTTAAAAAAAAAAAAGACTTCTACATATTAAAAACAAACAAACAAACCAGCATTCTGAGAAGGGTCCACAGGTTTCACCAGATGCCAAATGGGTTCATGACGCATATAATAAAAAAAAAAAAAACAAAACCCTAAAAAGAAGTATCTCAAAAGAGCTGATGTGGTGTGTCCCTGGCCCTTCTGTCAGCTGACATCCAGCCCACAAAGACAGGCTCAAGAGAGAAGCCTGGAAGAGCAGTGAGAACAAGGTTTCCAACAGAGACCCCGTGGCCTACATTTCCTGCCTTATTTGTAAGATTAGGACACCTGCAGCGGCCTTGTGCAGAGACCTGGTGCAAACAATGGGGCGCTGTTTAAAAGCCCTCTCTAAAACAACACTCAGAAGAGCACCCAACTTTCCCTCTGTCCTCCGCCTGGGGCCCTGCGGTCTCCAGCTCACAAAGTGAGTCCTAGTGCTAGACAGTGTCTCTCCTTTTCCTCTGCATTGAAAGGGCTATTTATCCTTTTAAATGTATTCAGAAAGTCAGCACATTATTTTATTTATTTAAATTTTGCTTATTTATCTTTAGAAGGGAAGGGAAGGAGAGAGGGAGAGAAATAGCAATGTATGGTTGCTTCTCGTGCTTCCCCTGCTGGGAACTGGCCTGCAACCCAGGCATGTGCCCTGACTGGGAATCGAACCACGATCTTTTGGTTCGCAGGCCCACGCTCAATCCACTGAGCTACACCAGCCAGGGCACTCAGCACATTGTTTTTTTTTTTAAAGTGAGTCCTGCAGAAGACCCTCTGGTTAAAATTAAACTTCTCTCCCAAAATGCTCTTCAAGGCTGAAGAAAGACACACTCTCCCCCTATGAATCTGGAACTAGACACAGGGAGGGGGGAAATGACATTTCTTTTTATAAATCCTCTCTAATCCGCTGAAGAAAGTAATTTATCTGAAGTCACAGGTGGTGCATATGGGGAGTTCATTTCAGGAGGTGGAGCACAGAGCAACGTTCTGGTTTAGGTTTAAAGCCTGACTTGTATAAACTCAAAATGCACTCATGGGAGTGGGAGAAGTGAACAATATAGAAAGAAACACCATCTCCAAGATCCTTTCTAGAGCCTGTGGAAGGCAGGAGCCGTGAGCATCATGAGGCAGTTTCTTGGCATCTCAGCCTGTGAATCACAGCTCTCACATGGATTCATTGAACGATCTCTAATTTAGGAGCAGAGCAACAGAAGGGCCCCAAATTAACTTTGGTTTTTGTCCTCCCCCTTTCACTTGGAGTTCCATGGGCCTGAGTGTTGGGTGTCATCTATGATAAGACTCAGAGTATCTATGGTGGTTCATCTTCATGCTCATCACAGTAAGAATCTGCCCAAGGTACTAGGGGGAGGGAAGTTGGAGGGAGGTGGAGTTGAAGGGAACCCGCTCAAAGAATGGACTCATTTACATATCAGATTATTAATCACAGAGCAACTAAACATTCAGAGGTCAGGGAGGAATGCCAGACTTGTTGAGACGACAGTGTAACGTAAAAGGTTCTTATGAGACAAAGATAGTCAGGTGGCTGTGCATAGAATATCTCTGCAAGGCTGTGTTAGAAAGTGCTAACAGTGAGTGTGGGACTTGGGCATAGGAGGGAACCTGACTTTTCTGTTACACACTTTTTGTACCATTTAGGTTTTGTACTATGCACATATATTATTAATTACAATATTATTGTTTATAGTCTTGCATGTCAGAAGGCTCTGTAGGAATGTGCTTAATAAACAAACATGTTAAACCATGGTGCTATTTAAGGAACTAGTATTCATGGACTGCCTACTGTGTGCCCAGGGCCCTTTGGCAATGACTTTTACTGATCTTAGGAAATGGAGGCTCAGGTAGGAGGGAGCCGAGTGAGGACTCCTCTCAGGTCTGCTGGAAGCCAGCACTCTGCCCCTCTGCAAGGACCACACTGCCTTCATCCCTGGAGTGAGCAGTTGGAGGCACCAGATGCTCTGGCAGGATCCAGAGAGATGCCATCTGTGAGGGAAACCTATTCTTAGAGAGCAGAGACAGTCAGTGGTGCAGCCAGCCAGCTCCCAGTGGCAGTGGGGGGATGTGGCAGGCAGCCAAGGCTTTACCTTCAGCTGGAGGTTAGGACAGGCTAAAAGCTGGGTATACTCAGTTCTCAGGACCACACTTCCCTCTACGTTTGGATGCCATTAGAAATAACAGCAAACATTAACTGAGTGCTCACTTTAAGTGTGTCATAGCATTTAATTCTCCAGATCACCCTATAGAATGTCTACCTTACACAGGATGAAACACAGGCACAGAATGGTTAAGTCATTTGCTCTAGGAAACACCAAAACCAGAGCTGAGGCAAGACACTGGCTACAAAGCCTACATCCCCAGCCATCATGTTATATTATATTATCTCTCAACTTGCTACACCAGAGGCCCATTTTAGTTTGGGTTCCCCCAATAGCAGACCCCAAGACAAGGATTTGAGTACATGTGGTTTATATGGGAAGTAGTCCCAGGAAGCACTGGTAGGGGAATGAGAAAGGGAGACAAAGATGGGGGTGTTACCAAGCAAGTGACCACTGTGGACAACCAGAAGCTCAGTCCTGCTGGGCCCTGGGAGCCAGAGGGAAACATGCCTACTGGGCTAGGGATACAGGAGCATATTCATCATCAGTCATTGGTTAAGAGCTACTCTTGGATGTGTTAATCCTTCAGCACTGCAGGGTGGCAAAGCAGGTGCCAGTAGCAAGTGAGAGCCCTTGGGCAGAAAAACGAGGGGTGGCACTTGTAAAATTTGGCTGATGTGCACTGAAGTCATAAGCTAGAGGCAATATGGGCAGGGCACCCCCAGCATCTGTTATAAAACCTGCTTGCTGATAGCCAGTCCCTTTCCTCCCCATAATTTTGGGATCTCATTCAGCCTCCACAGAGTGAACTAAGGAAGCTTCAAGATCCCTTTCTCCAAGTTTGCTGTACAACATTGTGGCTGAGAACACAACTGCTAGAATAAGACCTAATCTCTCCTCTGTTACCTGACAGCTGTGTTTAATTTAGTCCCCTCATTTGTGACATGGGATAATGGTTGGCCCCATATCATCCCCTGCTATCTTGTTACTCAAAGTGTGGCTCAGACCAGCAGCAGCACCTGGGAGTCTGTGAGGCCTGCAGAATATTTCAGGCCCCACCCCAAACCCACTGAATCAGATTCTGCATTTTAATGAGCTCTCCAGTGACTCATGTGCATGCTTCTACTAGTAACTGCTAAAATAATAAAAAAGAGAGACTGAAGTATTCCCATTAGGCCAAGGGATGCCAATTAGCGAGTCATAGACCAAAATTTCCTGGAGACCTGATTGACTTGTCCGGTTTGTTTGTAAAAAAACAGACTGGCACATAAGTCTCCAGTTCACTGAGTCCCCATCAGTCCCTACTGCAAAGCACCCAGAACATAATCATTTATGTCACTGCCAGACCCCTTTAGGCATTTGAGTTTGTACCCCACTCTGGAACAGGCCCTGTAATTAGCTAACATTTGCATAGCTTAGCTTAGGTTTCTAAATTTAAAGTAAGGCACTGAGGTTCAGTGGATTGAGCACCGGCCTGTGAATCAAAAGGTCGTCAGTTCGATTCCTAGTTAGGGCACATGCGTGGTCAGTCTCTGGTTGGGGGTGTGGGAGAGGCAACTGATCAATCCATCTCTCACACCCTCATGTTTCTAGCCCTTTCTTTTTCCCTCCCTTCCCCTCTCTCTAAAAAAGTAAATAAATAAAATCTTTAAAGTAAGGCACTGAAAAACACATAGGCTCAGCAATCGGATAGATCTGGGTTCAAACCCTGATTGGGCGACCACACGAGCCGTATACCTCGGGCAAGTTATTTCCCTTCTCTGATTCTCAGTTTCCACATCTGTGGAATGAAAATCAAAATACAGATCTGCAAGGTCATTGTATAGATTAAAAATAATATGTGCAAAGCACCCAGAAAGAAGTAGGAGTCCACTAAATGGAAGTGGTTAGTAGTGGAAACAGCAGCCATGGTTACGCAAGCCCAACGTGGACGTGGGGCACTATTGCAATTATCCTCATTTTACAAGAAACGGAGGCTGTGAACCTCTGAGGCTTTAAGAAACTTCCTCAAACTCACACAGTGGTGAAGTGGGGACTCAAAACCATGTCCTCCAGCTCTAGATCCGCGCTGTCCACTAGAATTTTCTGTGATAATAGGTGTGTTCTATATCTGTGCAGTCCAATACGGTCGCCACTGGCCACATGTGGCTACTCACTGAGCACCTCGAATGGGACTGGTCCAAACAGATATGTGCTGCGAGTATAAAACACACACCTCATTTGGATGACTTAGTATAAGAAAAAAAAAAAAGAACTGAAAAGATCTCATTAATTTTCATATTAATTTATGGTGAAATGATGATATTTTAGAAATTTGGGCTAAAATATAATTAAGGTTAATCTCATCTGCTTCTTTCCACTTTTTAAAAATGTGGCTACTAGGAACTTTTCAATTACATATAGGACTGTTGCTGCATTTCTTTTGGACAGCGGCACTCTAGAGCTTCTCCAATACAACACCTGAGAGAAAAAACTTCGTATTTTGTAAAAACATATCTGCCAACCCCACTCCCACCAGCATAACAACAGCCAAAGAACATACCCACCAGGAAGAGATTTCAGGGCCCTCCTCTGAGCTTCACAGCCCCTGAGGCCTAGGTGGGGGCGCCTCACAGAGGTTAGCAGCACAGCTGGAACCATGCCCAAGGCTCCTCAGCCTGATGCAGCCACTTGTTCCGCCACTCAAGAATACCTAACAGGATTTGAAAACTGGTGCTTTTGCTTTGGACAATGGAACCCCGGGGATAACAGAAGTTAAGAGTCTGAGAGCCGTGATCTTGAGAAAGCAGGATCCTCTGGGAGATTTCACTCATGGACACCACCTAGAGCCTACTCCAGCAGAAGCCCTCATAAGCACTTCAGGGCTGCGTTACTTCGAGGGACGTCTCTTGTTGTAGATGAGGAAATCTGAGATGTCGTGCCACACATTGCTGTCCTCATACAAGTAAGTCATGGAGGACTGCAGCGAGGGCTGCAGTGTGGGCCGGTGGTACTCGAAGAGCCACAGCACCAGCCCCCACACTACTGCCGTGAACAGTGGGAATGGGTCCCACTTAGGTTCAGGAATGTAGCCCTTCTTCACTCCCAGGCGGCACAGGGCAAATAGGACGCGTGACAACAGGTACATGTTGATCTGCAAGGAGGGAGTGACAGGGGATTATGGGTGTGCTTGGCTACTGGGAACCCTCTGCCCACCTCCATGCATGGACCAGCGTTTTTTCAAAGTTGGTATGCAGGCCTTGGCCAGGTAGCTCAGTTGATCAGAGCATTGTTCCAATACACCAAGGTTGCAAGTTCGGTCCCCAGCCAGAGCACATATAAGAATCAACCAATGAAAGCATAAATAACGGGAGCAGCAATAAAAATCAATGTTTCTCTCTCTTTCTCTCCCCCCTTCCTCGCTCTCTAAAAAACAAAATTGGTATGCAAGATGATTTGAAGTGGTATCAGACATTTTAATATTACTATTTTATATCTTTAATTTACTATTTATTAAATTTAAAAAATACATTTACACAGTTCAAAACTAAAAAATGACTTGTCACCAAAAAAATAAATAAAGACATTTGATAAACTGGATTTCATCAAATTAAAAAAAAATTTGGTTGTAAAAGCCCACGTAAAAAGGCTGAAAATAAAAGCTGTGGACTGAGAGAAAAAATATATATATTTAAAAATTTTTTGTGCTCATTGGCTAAGCTTTTTGTTTTTTATTTTTTTAAGATTTTATTTATTTATCTTTAGAGGGGAAGGAGAGAGGGAGAGAAACATCAATGTATGGTTGCCTCTAGTGCATCCCCTGCAGGGAACTGGCCTGCAGGGAACCTGCCTGCAACCCAGGCATGTGCCCTGACTGGGAATCGAACCACGATCCTCTGGTTCACAGGCCTGTGCTCAATCCACTGAGCTACACCAGCCAGGGCGAGAAAATATTTTTTAAAAAATATCCAACAAAGACTAGTATCTGGAATATAGTTTCAAAAAATTCAGCCCTGGCTGGTATGGCTCAGTGGACTGAGTGCTGGCCTGCGAACCAAAAGGTTGTCTATTTGATTCCCAATCAGGGCACGTTGCAGGGTTGCAGGCCAGGCAGTTCCCCACTTGGGTTATGTGAGAGGCAACTGATCCATGTATCTGGGATACACACACTGTGTGTACCTCGCACACTGGTGTTTTCCTTCTTTCTCACTCCCTTCCCCTCTCTCTAAAGAAATAAAGAAATAAAATCTTAAAAAGAAACCTCAACAGTAAAAATAAAATCCAATTAGAAAATGGGCAAAAGACATGAACAGATATTTCACAGAAGAGGTTATACAGACGGAAAACAAGCACATCTAAAGCTGTTCAACATCATTAGCCATCAGGGAAATGCAAATTTAAACCCACAATGAGATGGCACTACACACTTATCAAAATGGCTAAAAAAAAAAAAAAAAAAAAGGTGATAAACCAAATACTGGCTTGGATGTGGAGGAACTGGATCACTCAGGTCTATTCCTGATGGGAATGTAAAATAGTGCAGTCACTATAGAAGACAGTTTGCCAGTTTCTTATAAAACTAACCATGCACATACTGTCTGACCCAGCAATTGCACACTTGGCATTTGTCCCAGAGAAATGAAAACTAATGCTCAGTCAAAAACTTGTATAAGAATGTTCTTAGCAGCTGTATTCTTAGTAGCCAAAAGCTGGAAGAAACTCAGATGTCTTTCCAGGGGTTATTGTTTAAACAGACTGTAGTACATCCATGCAATGGAATGCCACCCAGGAATAATAAGAAATGAACTATTAACAGACACAGCAACTGGGATGGATCTCCAGTGAATTATGCTGAGTGGAAAAAGCCAGTCTCCAAAGGTTACAACTGTCATGACTCCACTTATATAACATTGTTGGAATGACAAAATTTTATAAATGGAGGTCAGAAGAGTTGTCGCCAGAGGTCAAGCAAAGGAGGCAAGGGGGAAGGAGATCCTGTGACTAGGATCCCCAGCCTTTGGAGGTGACATTTCTAATGAATATAAAACTGAGAAAATTTTCTCAAAATACAAAATGCTCATATCCACTGACTCCATAATTCCACATCTAGGAACTTTCCGACAGACTGACACATGTGCAAGAAGACATCCACACAAAGAGGCAGACTGCATGTGTAATGGCAAGAGGCTACGGACCTCCTGAATGTCCATCAGGAGGAGACTGGTAAAATCAGGCCAGCCCACCTACCCAGCAGTGTAAAAATATAACTAAGTGATGAAGAGATTGCCAATCTATCAGATGCAGAGTTCAAAACACTGGTAATCAGGATGCTCAGATAAATGGTTGAGTATGGTCACAAAATAGAGGAAAAAGTGAAGGCTATGCAAAGAAAAATTGGAAACCATCAGTGAAGGGAAGGGAAGGGAAGGAAACCAGGACTCAAATCAACAATTTGAAGTAGAAGGAAGAAATAAATATCTAACTGGAACAGAATGAAGAAACAACAATTCAAAAAAATGAGGAGAGGCTTAACGTTCTTTAAATAGGACAAATTTAAACGTTTCAACGTCAGAATCATAGGATGCCAGGAAGAAAAGAAGAAGAGCAAGAAATGTAAAACTTATTTGAAAACATAATGAAGGAGAACTTCCCCAATCTGGCAAAGGAAATAGACTTCCAGGAAATCCAGGAAGCTCAGAGAGTCCCAAAGAAGTTGGACCCAAGAAGGAACACACCAAGGCACAGCATCATTACATCACCCAAGATTAAAATGAAGGAGAGGATCCTTGAAGCAGCAAGAGATAAGGGGACAGTCACCTACAAAGGAGTTCCCATCAGACTGTCAGCAGATTTCTCAAAAGAGACCTTACAGGCAAGAAGGGGCTGGAAGGAAGTATTCCAAGTCATGAAATCCAAAGACCTACATCCAAGATTGATCTACCCAGCAAAGCTGTCATTTAGAATGGAAGGGCAGATAAAGTGCTTCTCAGATAAGATCAAATTCAAAGAGTTTATCATCACCAAGCACTTATTACATGAAATGTTAAAAGGACTTATCTAAAAAAAAGAAGATAAAAAAGATGAACAGTGAAAGGAGAGCAAACTCACAGTTATTAACAACCACACCTAAAACAAAAGCAAACTAAGAGGACAGCTAGATCAGGAGCAGAACCACAGAAATGATCACATGGAGGATTAGCAACAGGGGAGTGGGAGGAGGAGAAGGGGGGAGAAGGTACAGAGAATAAGAAGCATAGACAGTAGGTATAAAATAGATGGGGGGAGGGCAAGAATAGTACGGGAAATATAGAATCTAAAGAACTTGTGACATATGGACATAAACTAAAGGGGGGGAATATGGGGGAGGGGTGTGCATGGTGGAGGGGAATGAAGGGGGGAAATAGAACAACTGTAATGGCATAATCAATAAAATATATTTTTAAAAAGATGCAAATCAAAGCCATAATAAACTATTACCTCACACACACACACAAAAAGAAGCATAAATGGTAGGTACAAAATAGACAGGAGGTGGTTAAGAATAGTATGGGAAATGGAGAAGCCAAAGAACTTGTATGTACAACCCATGGACATGAACTAAGGTGCTGGAATAGAATGCTGGTGGGAGGAGGGTACAGGGCAGAGGGGAATAAAGGGGAGGAAAAAATGGGACAATTATAATAGCATAATCAATATATTAAAAAAAACAACAACAGAATTTTAACCCAGAAAAGGGGCTTGCAAGTCATAGAATTAAAGGCAATTCTTTAATTAATTTTTTAATAAAAATCATAGTCCAGGGTCATTTTTCTTTTTTCATTTGGAAGTAAAGTGGTTTTCTTTATTTTTTAAAATTTTATTTATTTATTTATTTTTAGACAGAGGTTAAGGAAGAGAGAAAGAGGGAGAGAAATATCTATTAGTTGCCTCTCGAATTCCCCCAACTGAGGGCTTGGTCAGCAACCTAGGCATGTGCCCTGACCAGGAATTGATCCTGTGACTTTTGGGTTCGCAGGCCAGAATTCAATCCACTGAGCCACACCAGCCAGGGCCAAAGTGGTTTTCTTAAAAAAAAAACAAAACAAAAAAACAACTTTGCCCCGGAGAGGAGTACACAATGGATTTTGGGAACCATAAAACCCAACAAGCTGCCTGATTTACACATGAGAAAACTGAGGGGGAAGTGACCTTCCCAAGGTCACAGAGGAACTGGTGAATCATAGACCCTCAGACTTGGAATGGAGCCAAGAGCTCATCTTCTTTGACCCCACCATCCCCCATACATACCTGAACCGCAACCCACCCACCCCCAGCAGCCCTCCCCACCATATCCCCAGGGAGGATCTTTACCTGGCTGTTGATACTATTGTTATCTCCAAACATCAGCAAGCCCCCAAAGAAGGCAGCCAGGAATGAGTGCACCTGGTAGGTCTTGCCCTGCACATGGGACTGCAGGGCACAGAGCCCCTTATAGGTGAACACGAAGCAGGCCAGGGTAGAAGAATGGGTGTACGTGGCTTGCAGGATGGCCCGAAGCTTCTCACGGAGGCTGCACAAACACAGGGAGGCCCCATGAGTGCACATCCAGCCATTCACAGGGCATTTACCCACTGCGCATGCAAAACTAAGGCAAGCAAGTTGCTCCGGGCTGATGCTCATTCAACCCCAGGCCTCTAACCTCCCTGTCCCAGGGGCTGCTGCCTCACTTGGTTCAGGCCTTTACTCCATGCCACTTCCTCAGAGAGGCTTTCCCTGATCACCCTGCATAAAAAAATGCCCATCACATCTGTCCCCTTACACTAGTTTTCTTTTCCTTCATAGGTCTTATTACCACCTGACGTTTATATGCTAAACAAGCAAATCTTTGCTTGTTTATTATCTCCTCCACTCCTGCCCCATCCCAGTGGAAGGTACCAGAAAGTAGTGTCTACAACTGACTTGTTCATCCTTAGGGCCCAGAACAGGGCCTGACACACAGTAGGTGCTCAATAATTTTTTTTTATGAGTAAGCATGTGAACAAATGAATGAATGAGAGAGTTAGTCCCTACTTTGTGCTGTAGCTGGGGCTACAATTCTGGGGGAAGGGAAAGATCTGCTTGCTGCCCTCGTGAGGTTTATGATCTAAAGGGAGAGGGGTCAAACTGTGACCATGACAAGAGATGACCCTGGGATCTGAAGGATGAGGACTCTGATGGGGTCAAGAGGGGACAGGAATTGCTTCCCAGGCAGATGGATCAGCAAAGGTCCTGAGGAGAAACAGAGTCTGGAGTAACGAACAGGAAGAAACCTGAGCAGGGGATGTGTGGGCAAAGGATGAAGGGGATGTAGGGTGGGAGGGGGCCATGCTAACTTTTGTCTTTGTCCTGAGAGAAGCATTTAACTAGGGGAGGGAGGTGATTTATTCTTTTTTTTAAAAATATTTTATTTATTTATCTTTAGAGGGTAAGGAGAGAAGGAGAGAAACATCAATGTATGGTTCCCTCTCGTGAGTCCCCTGGTGGGAACTGGCCTGCAACCCAGGCATGTGCCCTGACTGGGAATTGAACCGAGATCCTTTGGTTCACAGGCCTGCGCTCAATCCACTGAGCTACACCAGCCACAGATTTATTCCTTAAAATCAAACCACTTGGCATTGTTTCTCTCTCACATCAATGTTCTTGTTCTCTCTCTTTCCCCACCCCTCTCTTCCTGTTTTTCTAACAGCAATTTTAAAAAATGACCTCGGGTGAGGATAAAAAATAAAAATAAAAAAGAATAGTAAACTGGAGTGCCCTGTTCTAAACCCAAGGCTAGATGAGGACCTTGGAGTGGGTCTACTAGGACCTGTGGAAATCTGCCAGGTGAGTGGGCATAGCCAGGAATCAGCTGGTTCTCACCCCACAGGAACCTGGAGTGTTGCCAGTTCTAAGATAAGTTAGATCTCCTGGTATTTAAGTGTTAACACTAATCCCGCGTTGAAATTGTTTCTAGAATCTGACTACTTCTCCTAAACCCCGATTGCCATCAGGAAAGTCTAAGTCACCAGTGTTGCTCACCTGGATTACTGCCACGGCCTCCTATTTTATACCTACTACTACCCTTGGCACTCACCCCCACCTGTAATAATCTGGCAGCAAACTCTTCACTCTCATACTGTTAAAAGACAAGTCAAACAGAAGCACATCCCTGCAAAAAATCTTACAATTTCCTGTTTCGCTTAAAAGAAAAAAGCCCACCTCCTCTCTAAAGTAGGGCAGGACAGGCCCGGCTTACCCCGCGTGACCTTCCTCTTTTCTCTCTCCCCTTCAATCCCTCTGCTCCAGCCTTCTCAAACTCACTAGGCATGATCCCACCTCAGGGCCTTTTTTAAAAAAAATTATTTATTTATTTTTAGAGAGAAGGGAAAGGAGGGGGGAAGAGAGGGAGAGAAGCGGCAATGTGTGGGTGACTCTCATGTGGCCCCCACTGCGGACCTGGCCCACGACCCAGGCATGTGCCCTGACTGTGACTCAAACCCACAATCCTTTGGTTCGCAGCCTGTGCTCAATCCACTAACACCAGTCAGGGCCCACCTCAGGGCCTTTGCACTGGCTATTCTTTTGGGCTGAAATACTCTTTCCCCTAATACCCACTTGGCCAACTCTTTCATCTTCTTAAAGTCTTCACTCGAATGTCACTTGTTCACTGAGGTCTTCCTTATTTAATTCTGCAGGCTGCCCCTCCTCCAGCACTCCTGATCCCTTTCCCTTCCCTTGCTCTAATTTTTCTTTCCCACAGCAGCCATCACCTTTTCACATACACTCTCCTTATTTATTATGTTTTTTCTTCTGCCGCCCCTTGCTAGCATGCAAGCTCTATGAGGGCAGCGGTTACTGTCCACATTGTTCACCGCTGTATCCTGGTACCTAAAACAGTGTCTGGCCCACAGTATATGCTCAATAAATATCTACTGGATGAATGACTGAGCTCAATTTTTTTAAGAAAACAATTCGGAGGACAAAAACCAAAACAAACAAAAATAAATTTAAAAGTGAAATTACAAAAAGAGAAAATCTTGAAGCTGGATTTGACCAGAAGGTTTCCATGTTATGAGTCTTATAAGCTCCAGGTGAGACTACATTAAAAACTAATCACAGGGTGGTTTCTGAGAAGCGCCCTGAGGGAAGACATGAGAGATCAGAGGAGAGCCAAGAAGTGTGAGCAAAGAAGGGAGGTCATAGGTGGTTTTCTGAGAATGTGATCCTCAGAGAACTGGTATGGTTTGCTAAAAAGGAAATAAAGGTGGGGTAGAAAAGGGAAAGGTAGTCCTGGCAGGGGGTTCTGCATAGGAAAATGTGCGGAGGTAGAGACACATGTGGCATGTACATGGAATGACAGCAAGTTCTGTGCGCCAAAGGCACTCCAGGTGAACATGGGGGAATAGGGTGGGGATGCAGCTGAGGCCAAACTACAGAGGGTCTTAAAGGACACACCTGGAATCTGGGCTTCTCTGGAGGGAGTGGGAGCTAGGGGAATTTTCTAGCAGGGATAATAGAATCAGAGCTGTACTTTAGGAGGTATCAGTGGGGACAGGTTAGACCCAGCTAGGAAGCTATTGCAACAGCCCTGACACTGAGGGCTGACCACATTCTCTCCCAGTTTGAGAGGTGTGCAGAGGGGGTGGGTACCTGCCACTCCGGAAGAGAAAGGTCATGACCAGTGCATGAGGGGCCCGGATTTTGACTCCATAGCTGTAGAAGCAAAAAGAAAACAGTTACTATAGCATTACTGTATCAGTTTTTTTTTTTTTTCTGGACTATCTCTTTGACCCCTAATCCCCACCCCATTCCTAATTCTAACATCATTTTGGAACAGGAAATAATGCTAGCTTTTGAGTCAGATCTAGGTTCAAAGTCAGTCATAGAAAGGGAACAGTATTTGGTATCAAAATCCTGCCACATTTTACTGAATAAACTTGGAAAAATTCATTTAACCCCTCTGAGCTGCTCTCTTCCCATCAGTAAAAGGTATTTTCCATTTCAGAGTTGCCTCTGGCAGGCAGGGACATAGCACAGGTGAAAGTTCCTAGTTCAACCAATGTTAATGTCTCTTTCTTTCTTGTTCTTTTTTACTGGACTCCCTTTTCCCCCATCAAGTTCTCCAGCTTCCAGGCTCTGATCTAACCAGGTTACCAGGTCTAAAAATCCATGCCAGCCTCCTTGAAACAATGGTCACAAGCCATATATTGTAGTCATATGAGTATCTGTGAATGTTCACTGTAGGCTTATTTAAAATAGCAAAAGACTGGAAGCAAACCCATGTCTCTTCACAGGGGGAGGGTTATTGGGGAAATAAATAATGGTCCCTTCCTTCAGTGGAATACTAAGCAGCAGAAAAAGAGTGAGGTGGCTTTATGTGCACTCCGGGGTTCACTAGAGCAAGGTATGTAAAATTGTGTAAAAACAAGGAAATTCTTCTATAAACCTGTAAGTATTTCGAAATAAAATTTGTTTAAAAGATGTGGGAGGGGCCCTGGTTAGTGTGGCTCGGTGAACAAAGAAGCCCTCAGCCTCCTCCAAGTGACCAGAACTAGAAGGACCTTTCCTGATACCCCGGACACAAGCAGCAGAACAGTGCCCCCAACTCCCCACACCTGCCAGGACCCCTTCCCAAAGTCTTCAAACTCAGGGGGAACTGGTTACTGTCATTCACAGGATTACTCTGTATCCTGATAAAAAGGGATGCTCTGGATTTAAAAAGACTTAAAGGATATTGTAGAATTGTACGCCTGAAACCTATATGATTTTACCAACCAATGTCACTCCAATAAATTTAATAAAAAATATAGGACTTAACGGACATAATGACAGATGCAATGTAATGTCCTGGAGGATCCTGGTCTGGACAGACTAGCTGCACAGAACATTTGGGGGACAACTGGGACAATCTGACTATTGACTGGACAGTAGTCAACATTACAGGATTAATATGAACTCATTAAATGTAATCATGGTAATTTAGTCATATAAGAAAATGTTTTTATTCGTAGAGGTGCACACTGAAATATTGAGGAGTGGACCACCAAAATGAGTTAAATTGTACAAAGTTCACATGTCTTACTCACCCAGGTGCCTTCCTAAATATAGAGCATATTCTTTTCCACCTCCAGGCCTTGATTCAAATCATTCCTTCCACTTGGAATGCCCCCCTCCCTCTGACAAACTCCAAATCAGCCTTCAAAATATCACCATCAGCTCTTCTGTACAGCACTCCTGATCACCTGGTACTGCCATGACAGTTTAGTGGTCAGTCTGCCCCAGAACTCCAGATCCTTATACATGGGCATGGTGTCTTAGCACTAAGCAGTAATGAAATAACTGCTTAGAGAATCCCTGCATAGGTGAGTTTGTTTCCACTTTATAGAGGAGGAAACTGAGGCCGGAAGAGATAAAGGGCACCCAGCACCGAAATGAAGGAACTGGGATTTCAGCCCAAGGGCTTGACCTTAGCAAGTACCTGCCCAGGCTAAGGAGGTTCCTGAGGTCATGGGAAGAGTTGGGTGGAAATAGGTGTACAAAGTTAGCATTGGGCAATGTCTGCTGGCACCAGGACCTGTCTGATTCCTGTTCCAACCCGATTTGTCCTGAAAAAACCTTGGCAAAGGGAAACAGATGTTATCTCAGGGGCTATTCTACCATAGATATATGAAGGCATGGGAGAGTACCATCTGACTAGACTCAGCAGGAATCAACTTCTGCCTGAAACTCTGGGTGCCCAAGAAAGCTGAGAGCTTAGTGTTGAGGTCAGGAACTCCTGGGTTTGAATCCTGGCTTAGAACCTGACCACGTAACATAATCATGAGCAATGAGTTTACCTTTCTGAGCCACAGTCTTCTCATCTGGAAAATGGGAATAATGACAATTCTTACCTTGCACACTTATTCATTCATTCAACAAATATTTGAAAGCCTACTATGTACCAGTTACTAGGAATACACCAAAGAACAAAGTAGATAAAAATGTCTGTCCCCATGAAGCTCACTTTCTAGTGAGAGGCAGAATATAAAAATAGGATAAATGAAGGGGGTGCGGGAGGTGGAGGAGGGTAAGGGAGGATAAGATGATGATGAATGGAGACTTGACTTGGCATGGTGAACACACAGTACAGTGTACAGATGATGTTTTGTGGAATTGTGCACCTAAAACCTGTACAATTTTGTTAACCAATGTCACCCCAAGTACTATGGAGAAAAATTAAGTAGGGAAGAAGGTGGGGAGTTCAAAGATGGCCTCATTGAGAGGTGACACAAACAGAGGCCTGAAAAAGATGAGAAAAGGCAGAACCCACGTGAATAGAACTGTAACAGCAGCCAACAGTAGTACATATATATCAGGCACTGGGCTAGGCATCACACACTTACTGAATCCTCTGACAGTGTAAGTACTGTTATCACTCCCATTTTATAGAAACTGACACTTGGAGGGGCTAAATGACTTGCAAGGTCACACAGGCAGATGGCACCAGGATTCAAACTGAGGCAGCTGACCGTCCTCATCACTATGCCAAGCCGCCACTAGGATGCCAGTTACAGGAGGACAGAGATCTTTGTTTGGTTTGTTTTCTGTTGCATCCCCAGTTCTGGGGCACAGTAGGCTCGCAATCCCGATAGCTGTTATGCATGTAGTTTAAAAGAGGCCGAGAATCCCTCCAGGTACCAGGCAGGGCAAATGACCAAAGGAGGGAATACAGAGACTGGCATGGGAGGTGGTCAAGGAAAGAGGGATAGGTTGCAAAGAACGAAGATGCTCAGAAAAAGCGTAGTGGAAGCCCTGGCCCAGACGGCGCTCGAGACCCACAATCCAGCGCCCACTGCTCAGATCGTGGACAGTGAGACCTAGAGACAAACAGTTGCTCAAGGGCACACAGCGCAGCTGCGCCAGGCCGGGAACACGCGCCGCCGATCCCAGCTAGGCCCATCCCCTCAACCCGGACCCTAACACCCCACTCACACTGCCCCGTTCCGGAAGCCTTTCAGCACTGCCAACGCTGCGTGGTAGCGGCGCTTGCGCAGCAGTGTGTTGACGGCCAGGAGTAGACCCTGCAGGTGCGACGGGGCTGCCATAGCAAGGGTATAGCGCTGGGGCGGAATACTGAAACCGAGCCCGACGCGCCTGGACAGTCCCAGTTCTGGCTGCACCGCCCTCAGCTCCTTGTGCTCCAAGCTGCTCCACAGCATCTTTACGTCTATAGGCTGTGTATTCTGTCACTCATACATGAGAAGCCAATCAAAGAGCAAATTTACCTCAAAGGAGGAATGCGACGCGCGCTCTCTCCTGAATAGAAGTGTGATTGGAAGAGGAGAGCTTGCGACCAGTTACAGTGGGCTCCGCCCGATTCTACCTAAGGAAAGTGAGTATTACACACCTGGATTTGTCCAACCAGAAAGCGTGTTTTCGTTGGGTTTGGAACGAAACACAACGAAACTTAGGATCACCTAAGTTTCCAAAGTTTCTCGAAAGAGGGGCCGCTCTTTTTAGAGCTGGGATGGTGACCCTGGGAGCAGACAGCTTTACACAGGACAGTTTTGTTTGGGTAAACAGTGATCATAGCGATCTCCTCTGAGCATAGATCCTTGACACCATTAATGTTTTCAATTTATCCTTAAAATATCCAAACTCCTTCCCATGGACCACAAGACAAGACTCTGTAATCCGGCCCCTGCTTCCCCATTGAAACTCATGTCGGGCCATTTGTCCCCTCATTCATTCCCCTCTAGCCACACTGGCCTCCTTGCTGTTCCTTGAGCATTCCAAGAAAGCTCCAGCCTCAGTGCCTTTGAAGTTGCTATTTCCCTGCCTGACATGCATACCTCCCAGTTCTTTCCAAGGCTGGGTCTTTCTCAACCTTCAAGTTTCAGGTCAAATTCCACCTCCTCAAAGAGGCCTATAGATATTCCATTTACGTAGCACTTGGTTGGAGCGGATGCAGCCTGCAAACCAAAAGGTTGTGGGTTCAATTTCCGATCAGAGAATATGCCTGGGTTCAAGATTCGGTCCCTGGTCGGGATGCGTACGGAAGGCAACTCATCGATATTTCTCTCCCTGACTTATTGCACTTTTATTTTCTTCATAGAACTTTCACTCTTTGAAATTATTTGTCACATGATCATTATCCATCGCCCCTACCAGAATGTAAATTCCATGAGGACAGAAACCTTTTCTGTCTTGTTTTCTGCTCTAACCATGGCAATTAGCACATGGTAGGTGCCCAGTAAATGCTTGTTGAAGTAATATAGTTTGGGTTGTCATCTCCAAGAGCATTGATAAGTGACATCTATGCAGGACGGCACTCTGTAGAGTTTTCATTGGATAACAGGTAGGCACTGAGTGGTAGTACTTGAGCCATGTGGTACTGTCATCAGAAGAACGAGTGTTCTGAGGACCTTGCTTTCTTGTCTTCTTGAAAGAGGAAATTCAAACGCCAGGCATAGATAGCAAAGCAGGCACCGGTTTATTAGCAATGGGAAAGTACAGTTGGAAGATTTTCAAGCAGTTCACTCATACCCAACTGAATGCCCCACTGGGCTACATACAAACTTAGGGTTTTTAGTCTTGCTCAAATTTCCCTCCAGCCTCCTGGCTCCTCTTCTCTTGCCTGTTTGTTCCTGACAAACGCATAGGCACATCTCTGCCAACAGGAAGTGGTCGTATGCCTGTGCTGTTCAGGTTTTGTGGCCATGTACATGCTCTTTTTATCATTTTTGCCTTTTACATATAGTATCACCAGTGGAAGGTCCTATACTGGTTATTACCTTAGTTAGTCCATCTGTGCATGCTTCTCATAGATGTATAATTGCCCTAGATCATATCAGGAACTTGAGAAGCATGTCCAACTCTCTGGTTATCAGCTAATGGTCCCCAGTTTATCCCCTCCCCCAGCTTATGCCAGCTAGCTACCAACTCTAACAGTATTTATCTCTGATACTATTGCCCAGATCAGTGTCATGTGATGATGTCAGAGGTCAGTGAAGGCGAGATTATGCTGGGCTCATTTTATTGCTAAAATTGGATTTTTTCTCTCTTTTTCTTTCTTTTGTCTCTTTACTTTTCAATAATGGTGGCCTGGTTAATTTAGGTAATCTTTCCTCTGAAAATAGTGGCATGTTAAATAAGATATAAAAGTATCCTCTGAAAAACACTGAAATGCTTAAAAGCCTGGGGGGATGCCCAGGCCAATTATTGGTTGAAAGCTAATAACCAATTAACAGGAAGATTGAATTATTGGAGGTCCAACACTACTTATGACATAAGAGCATTTGCCAACATCAAACCTGTGAGTTTCAGTGTTTTAACTACATAGGGCAAGAGAGACAGAACTGGTAGTCCAGGGCCTTTGTGGGCCAAGGTGGGGAGTCTTATAGAAAAATGTCTTCACATTAAGTTGAGACACCAAAGTGTTTCACCCTCAAGTTTCATGTGATATGAACCTACTGTATATCTCACACTACTACCCAAGCGAGTTCAGAAAAGGTTGCCTTGGTGCTGAGAAGAACAGTTGAAGGAAAAAGAAAGGGAATTTTTTTAAAGCTCTTCCTCAGGAAAGTTGTAACCAGTATATGTCATTTCACACCCTAGGGAGTAGAGCCTGGTACCCCAAGAAATCTCAAGCCATGAACTGGGAACCTGGTATGAGGGGATAAGTGACTGCAAGTGGCCCCACACCTTTGGCAAAAGTAAATGCAAAATCTCTATGAAGAATGGCACTTCTATCTTTGACTTCAGGGAACCACCACAAATAATTTTTCAAGGTGATGATCAGCACATAGAGAAAACCAGGCAGCCAAGACTTCCTGAAGAAGAAAAACCAGACACAATAGATGGGAAGAACAGATCAGTACAGACCTCAGGTATTATAATTCACAGGCACAGGTTTTTAAAAATTGTATGCACAAGATTTAAAGCTAGAAAATAGCTACAGAGAACAAAAAATAATTTAAAAATATGGAAAACTTGAGAAGGAACCAAAGAGAACTTCTAGAAATATCACCTAATATTCGCATGAAAATCAGTCACCAAGCCCTGACACATGGCCCAGTATCAAGAGAGGGTGTTTGGAAACTATTTGGATCAGCAAGTTCTTCCTGGATGCTATCTTTTGCCAAATGCTTCTCATGGTGATGAATAAGTTTCTTCCCTCAAGGAGCCTGGGGAAAAATAGTAGTCACTGGGAATGCTTTTATTCCTTAAAGCCCCTTTTTGATTGTACCTAACTCTGAGTTTCTCAGGGCAAGGCCTTTTTTATTTATCTTACCCAAGCAATCAAATTTATGTCTTTAACAAGCACATCCAGAGTAGAAAAGTGCTTGTATTCCAGGAACCGTTTGCCAAGTGCTCTATTTCATTCTTACAGCAACCCAGTGAGGAAGGAACTATATGCCCACTGAACAAATGGGAAACTGAGATGCAAAGAGACAAAGTAACTTGCCCAAGATGATATAGCTAAAAAGTCATGAAGCCAAGACTGGAATCCAGATCTCCTGGCTCCAGAGTCTTTTATCTTTATTACTGTATTGATTTACTAGGGCTTCCATAACAAAGTACCATGAAACGGGTGGCTTAAGCAACAAAAATTTATTTTCTCACAATAAAGTCTCGAAGCCCAAGATCAGGGTGTTTGGAGGTTTAGTTCCTCGTGAGACTTCTCTCTTCCCTTTCAACTGGCTAGCTTCTCCCCATGTCCACAAATGGTCGCCCTTCAGTCTATGTTGTCAAATCTTCTCAGGATGCCACCAGTCAGACGAGGGTCCACCTATATGACCTTATTTAATATTAATTACCTTCTTAAAGGCCCTATCACCAAATATTGTTACATTCTGAGGAACTAGGGTATCAACACATAGAATGTCAACACATGAATTCTGGCAGACATTATTCAGCCCGTAACAACCATCATTACTTATTCCAAGAGTCTCAAAGTTATCATTGGATTTGGTTCAGTGTCAACCAGCTGGCCCTGAGGGAATGGGACATAGGACAGCGAGATTTTAGTGGAGCAAGAGATGAATGTAAGGAGCTGAAAGTTTGAAGCAGAGGAAACCTGACTGGGGAACCTGCTGGAAAACCTCCCTGAAAGCTCCTTCAGGCAGTCAGTCAACAAACATTTCCCAGGTTACCTCTGTGCCAGGATGTGAGTTCCAACCAGAATGGACTCCTGCCAGAGAGGCAACGGGAAGGGTGGTTTAAGACTTGAGGTGGGATCTAAGTCTCCAGGGTTCCTAGAAAAGAGGGTGGGGTACAGAGTCTGGGAGAAGGGTAGGTTGTCTGTGGGGGACATTTGCTTAGAGCTCACTACTCAGAGGGCTCTCTATTGAGGGGGTAGAGAAAAGGCAAACTTCCAAAGGCTAAATATTAGCACATAACAGGGGCAGTACCAAGTGCTGTGAGAAACTAGAATAGCAAGGAAGGATTGGGATCTCATCCAGGGAACTCAGGGAAAGCTTCTTAGAGGAGGTAAGAAATGAAGTTTCTATTGTTTCAACAAGGGTGGAAGATGGGCATTTAAAATTTTTTATTTATTATTTATTTTTAGAGAGAGGGAAAGGAAGAGAGAGAGGGAAAGAAACACTGATATGCAAGAGAAACATCGATTGGTTGCCTCTTGAATGCCCCCAGCCAGGGACCTGGCCTGCACCTCAGGTATGTGCCCTGACCAGGAACCTGGCACTCCATCCACTGAGCCACACCAGTCAGGCCAAGGTGGACAGTTCAATAAGAGAGAACAGCAAGTGTAAAGGCCTGAAGAGCAGATGAAAATCAACTATTTGTACATGTACCTGGATATATGAAAACACATGGAAAGCTTCCAGGGCTTCTATTAGTAGAATCTTGTACTGTCTAGTGCCTTTCAGTGGCCCTATTTATCTCTCCTTCTTCATTCCCCTGTACCCATACCTCTTTTTACGGTCCCTGGACTCTTTACCTTTTTACTATAGGGCCTTTGCACTTACCCAGGATGATACAACTAATAAGCTCTGCTTTTCTTGTTCCCTTTTCTCCACCCACTTCCTCAGAGAGCCCATCCCTAACCACCCTGTCTAAAGGAGACTCCCTCCTCCCAGAAAGAAAAATATTTAACGTCATAGAACATCTCTCCTCTTTTTTTTCTTGTTTACAGACCATCTCACCTGCTGAACTACGACTCCATGAAGGCAAAGATTTTTATGTTTTTGTTCTTGGTTGTGTCCTCAACATATAGAATAGTGTATAGCCCACAATAGATACTGAATATTTTTTTTAAAAATATTTTATTTGTTTGTTTTTAGATAGAGGGGAAGAGAGGGAGAAAGAGGGAGATAGAAGCATCAATGTGTGGTTGCATCTCACATGCCCCCTACTGGGGACCTGGCCAGCAACCCAGGCATGTGCTCTGTCTGGGAATGGAACCAGTAACCCTTTGCTTTGCAGGTGGGTGCTCAATCCACTGAGCCACACCAGTCAGGGCTGAATATTTTTAAAATTAATTAAATGAATATGAATGTACTAATGTATTACTTGAATTATTGAAGTTCTTTTAAAAAAACAGTAATATTGAGGAACTCTTGCAGGGGAGAGGTGATGAGGAGGTAAGGCCATTGAATCCATGGGGATGTTAAAGGAAAGACAGGGAGGAGGGAACACTGGCCTTACTCCTGCCAGAGAGGCAATGGGAAGGGTGGTTTAGGACTTGAGGTGGGACCTAAGTCTCCAGGGTTCCCAGAAAAGAGGGTGGGGTACAGAGTCTGGGAGAAGGGTGGGTTGTCTGTGGGGGACATTCGCTTAGAGCTCATTGTGCAAGGTGGAGACTGGAAGGGGAAGGAGGTAGCAGTGGGGGTGGGTACAGTTGTAGTGTTCAGGGCAATATGGGGAGTTTACTGGTAGAAATCAGCTTTGAGGCATGTGTAAAAAGAGGGTCTGTGAGGCACCTTACTATGAACAGTGGCTGGCGGTGCCCCAGAAGGATAGAGGAGGTTTTTTTTTTAAATATTTTATTTATTTATCTTTAGAGGAAAAGGGAAGGAGAGAGGGAGAGAAATATCAATGTAAGGTCGCTTCTCATGCGTCCCCTGCTGGGAACTGGCCTGCAACCCAGGCATGTGCCCTGACTGGGAATCGAATCTTGATTCTTTGGTTCACAGGCCCGCACTCAATCCACTGAGCCACGCCAGTCAGGGCTGACAGAGGAGCTTTGAAAAAGTTGTTTGTTTTTTTTTTAACTTTTAGAGTTTATGTTTCTTTAGTGAATGTGAGAAAATAAAAATTGTGATTTTTATTGTTGGTTTGGATGAGGCTAAAATATAATGAAAATATTTAGAGTCAAAACTCTGATAGCCCAGCTGTAGAAGAATTTGGCTCATGGGAGAAATGGCCGTTGATGGCACGGCCCTCGTTCCTTCTCGCCCTACCCCCTCACACTCCCCAACACCTTCTTGTCGTCCAAGTGTACATCTTGGAAACCACTATCACACCTTGTACTTAAAGATTTCATGTTTGTGTGCTCCTGCCACCCCGAACTCCATAGGGAAACGCCAGTATATTCCCGGACCTGTTGTAAGACTTGGTGTGTAGCAAGCACTCAAGACCAGCTGATGAAGCACAAAGACGAGATGGGAGTGTTGGACCAGGGTCTGAAGGAGGTGCGGGAGCATCCCCGTGAGATCTCAGTGGGCTTTCCACGAGGCTGCGCTGAAGGGCGCTGAAGTGGGTATTGGGGGGTTATGAAACAGAAATGGGGTCCCTGAGAAGCAAGGGTGGAGGTCTGTGTAAGAGGAAATGAAGACCCCCCAAAAAGTGTGAATAAAGGGTTAAGCCACTGGGGACTCTGAGATGATGGGGGATTAAGGCCAGGCTGAGACGGGAGTCACGGGTGGCCCCCAACAGGCAGAGCTGGGGCCCCCTGTGGAGGGAGTGCGGAGTCTAAGACAAGGATGAAACTGGGTCGCACACTTTGGGGCAGGGGTCCTGTGTTCATTGTGGTCCTTGTGACAGACTTGGGGGATCGGGTGCGGTGGGAAGAGGGGTCGCAAAGGTGGGGGATTTTATGGGCAGTGGGAATAAGGTGCGTGTTGCGGAGTTGAGGGGTCTCACGAGCCGTGTGTGTCTGTGTGTGAGAACGAGAGAGAGGGAGGGAGACAGATACGGGGAGTCGGGTCCGGTGTGGCGGCGATGGGTCGGGGCGCCAAGCTGGAGGGTTGAAATGAGGCGGGGATAAGGGTCCACACGCGCTGGTGACTGGATCCCCGAAGCGGAGCTGGGGGAGCCCGGTGACGTGGGCATCCCCACAGGCCATTGCCGCGTTTCTACGACTGCGGGCTCAGCGTCGGCTCCCGGGCGCCCCCTGGCGGCTCCGACCTCGCCGCCGCCGCCGCCGCCGCCGCCGCCGCCGCGGCTCCCACAATGCTCACGTAGCCCGGCTTCAGCTCCTGTGGCGGCGGCGGCGGCGGCTTCAAGATGGCGCAGACGATCTTCGAAGCCCTGGAGGGTGAGCGACGGCCGTGCCGCGGGAAGCGGCTGTTCCGCGTTGCGCCCCCTCCCGCCGCGCCCTCGCAGCGCTGGGCTCAGGGCGCGCGGCGGCCGCGGGGCGTAGGGCGCCGGGGCCGGAACAGCCGGGGGAGGGGCGCGGGCGGGAACAGCCTCGGGAACCGAGGCCTGTCAGTGGGGTGGGGGCCACAACACCGAATAGCAGTGGAGAGGAGGCTCAGTGGTGGGGCGAGCCTCGGGACCGGAACAGCAGGGGAGAGAAAGCCCTGGGAGGGAGCACCGGGACCGGAATAGCCGGGGAGAGCTGGCCCAGCGGGGAGGGGGCCTCGGACCGGAACAGCACCAGCTGCCGGCGGGCGCGGGAGGGCTCTCCTGGAGGGAACAGCCAGGGAGTATGGGGCCGGCCAGCGCCGCAGCCGCGCGGAGAGTGGAGACTCCTGTTGCTGACCGTGGCGTTGGAGCTTCAGTGGGGCGGGAGGGCTTTGGGGGAAGGCGCCTCCAAGCCAGACATTTTGACCACGAACTTTTATTGAGAGCTGATTTTGTGCTTTGTGCTGTGACATAGTCTTAAATTCAGACCAGGAAAGGATAGTCACCATCTGCGTGCCAGGCCGGGAATTGGTGCTTACAAAGCCAGCAAACATCGGTGGGCTAGTTTGTGCACTGCCCCTGGGTGCAGAGTTTTATAAACTAACACCAAGAAAGGATGGGTGCTAAAGGTGTGCTTGGCTGGTACATGATGCTCCCAGACCTAAAGCAGCAAACACCGGGCGCCAAATGATTGTCCTCTCCTTTGCAAGATCCTAAAATGGGCGTGGGCCTCAGGAGCAGTGAGTTGTGGACTTTGGAGACAGCAAACACCGAGGGCCTGCTACAAGTTGTGGAGGAAGCATCAGTGATTTCAGGGTCAAGGCGAAGAATTAATGTTGGGGGGGGTACAGATCTACAGATGTTCTTGGAGGGATGTGATAGGATAAGTGTAATTAGAATACAGACTGAAAGTAGGCGGGACTAATGATATGTGGCTGAGACCTCGTGAGCTGCTACTCCCCAGGAGATCTCAGTCATGTGCCTACACTTCTTAGAGGACCAGAGTTCTCACCTTGAAATGGGGTGTAACCCTCCCCCCATTGGAAAGGTTCATTTCAGGAATACTCATTGACCAGATAGTCCAGTCCTCACAGTCTGGTGGGGAACAGATAAAAATGATAGAACTAGGAACTATAGAATAGTAGAAAAGACAAATAATAAAAGAAAACTTTAGCTGGCTTTTACTGCTATGATGATGATGGAATGTGGAGGGCCAGGGTCAGTGGTGGTTCCCTCTGGGAGGCCGGTAGGATGGGGTGTAGCCTACTTTCTCTTTATGTCCCATGGGCTTCCCTGGGCTTTGAATTTTTACTTCGAAAAGGTGTTTGTGTATTGAATGATGAAGACAATAAAGGAAAAATCAGTTCTAAGGGCAGTGTGATGCATGCTAGGGGAAGGGCAGCACAACTGTGGGGATCTAGAGATGACCCAGGCAATGGGAACTACATTTGCAAAGCTCTGGCGTGGGGAGGGGTCTTCTAGGACCCACAGAATTTCATGTGGGTGAGCAGCTAGGGATGAGGCTTGTGAACTTTATCTTGGATTCAATGTGGAGATAAAGGGTTTTCAGCAGGGTAGCAACACAATGTGATGTATGTTTTATAAAGTTCACCCGTGCTCCTCTGAGAACAGATTGGAGGGGGCCACAGTGACAGCAGGAAGGTTAGTGAGATGACCATAGTTGTCCTGCTGGGAACTGATGATAGCATGGGTCAGGGGGGCAGCTGTGGGGTGGAGAGGAAGCGGATCTGAATGATATTTGGGAGGCAGAATAGGCTAGGTTTGCTGAAGGACTAGAAATGCAGGGAGGGAGGGGTGGTAGGTTGAGGGAAGAATCAAGGGGTGCCCCAGGGGCTGTGGTTGGGTACGCTGTGGTGCTCCGTTCTTATCAATGAGGATTACTGGAAGAGGAATAAACTTAGGGGTGGTGGTGACATACTTAGTTTGAGTTGTTTCTTTTTATTTATTCAATTTTTATTTATTGATTTTAGAGAGAGGAAGCATGAGAGAGAAAGAGAAACATTGATTTGTTGTTCCACATATTTATGCATTTATTGGTTGCTTCTTGTATGTGCCGTGGCCAGGGATCAAACCCACAAACTTGGCATATTGGGACAATGCTCTGACTAACTGAGCTACCCGAGCAGGACAGTTGGGGTTCAGTTTAGATAGGCAGCATTCTTTAAAAAGAAAGACTTTAGCCCTGGCTGGTGTAGCTCAGTGGATTGAGCACAGGCCTGTGAACCAGATAATCGCAGTTCGATTCCCAGTCAGGGCACATGCCTGTGTTGCAGGCCAGTTCCCTGCAGGCCAGTTCCCAGCAGGGGGCACACAAAAGGCAACCATACATTGATGTTTCTCTTCCTCTCTCCTTCCCCTCTAAAGATAAATAAATAAATAAAATATTTAAAAAAATAAAATAAAAAGAAAGACTTAATTTTTTTTAGAGCAGTTTTAGGTTCATAACAAAGTTGAGAACAACTAGACTTCTAGCCAAGGAGGCATAGGTAGATACACTTTGCCTCACCTCACAACCAAAAGACAACAAGAAATTTAAAAGCAAAAAATAATCAGAACTGCCAGAAAATTGAACTGTATGGAGGCCCAAGAATCAAGGAGTTAAAGAGGAAATATTCATTCAGACTGGTAGGAGGGGTGGAGATGGCCAGCCGGTGCAGCGGGTGGGAACACACAGCAAGGTAGCAACTGGAGGACCAGGCAGGTGAGGTGGCAGCTGGCAGTCCCACATTTGCATAGGGTAAAGCAGAAGGAACAACTTGGGAGCGAGACAGACTGCACAACCCAGGGTTCCAGCATGGGAAAGGAAAGCCTCAAAACCTCTGGCTGTAAAAATCTGTTGGGGTTGCAGTGGTGGGAGAAACTCCTAGCCTCACAGGAGAGTTCAATGGGGAGACCCACAGGGTTATAGAATGTACACAAACCCACCCACATGGGAATCAGCACCAGAAGGGCCCAATTTGCTTGTGGGTAGCAAGGGAAGTGACTGAAAGCTGGCTGAGAGCTGAGCAAGCAGCATTGTTCCCTTTTGGACCCCTCCCCCAAAACACAGTACCATAACACAGCGACATGGGTTGCCCAGCCCTGGCAAATACCTAAAGCTCTGCCCCTTACAATGTAACAGGTGCCCCAAGACAGAAATATGGCCCAAATGAAAGAGCAGATCTAAACTCCAAAAAAACCCCTGAATGATGAAGAGAGCCAACCTATCAGATGCAGAGTTCAAAACACTGGTAATTAGGATGCTCAGATAAATGGTTGAGTATGGTCACAAAATAGAGGAAAAAGTGAAGGCTATGCAAAGTGAAGTGAAGAAAAATAGACAGGGAACCAACAGTGAAGGGAAGGAAACCGGACTCAGATCAATTATTTGGAGCAGAAGGAAGAAATAAACATCCAACCAGAACAGAATGAAGAAACAAGAATTCAAAAAAATGAGGAGATGCTTAGGAACCTCTGGGCCAACTTTAAACATTTCCAACATCCAAACCATAGGGGTGCCAGAAAGAGAAGAGGAAGAACAAGAAATTGAAAACTTACTTGAAAAAATAATGAAGGAGAACTTCCCTAATCTGGCAAAGGAAATAGACTTTCAGGAGGTCCAGGAAGCTCAGAGAGTCCCAAAGAAGTTGGACCCCAAGAGGACCACACCAAGATACATCACAATTATATTATCCAAGGTTAAAGACAGAGAATCTTTTTTTTTAAATATATTTTATTGGTTATGCCATTACAGTTGTCCCACTCCCCCCTTCATTCCCCTCCACCCTGCACACCCCCTTCCCCACCATTCCCCCCTTTAGTTTATGTCCATGTGTCACAAGTTCTTTAGATTCTATACTTCCCATACTATTCTTGCCCTCCCCCCTTTCTATTTTCTACCTACCATCTATGCTACTTATTCTCTGTACCTTTTTCCCCCTTCTCCTCCCACTCCCCTGATGCTAACCCTCCATGTGATCTCCATTTCTATGGTTCTGCTCCTGATCTAGTTGTCCTTTTAGTTTTCTTTTGTTTTAGGTGTGGTTCTTAATAACTGTGAGTTTGCTGTCCTTTCAGTGCTCATATTTTTTATCTTCTTTTTCTTAGATAAGTCCCTTTAACATTTCATATAAAAGGGCTTGGTGATGATGAACTCCTTGAATTTGATCTTATCTGAGAAGCACTTTCTCTGCCCTTCTATTCTAAATGACAGCTTTGCTGGATAGATCAGTCTTGGTTGTAGGTCTTTGGATTTCATGACTTGGAATACTTCTTTCCAGCCCCTTCTTGCCTGTAAGGTCTCTTTTGAGAAATCTGCTGACAGTCTGATGGGAACTCCTTTGTAGGTGACTGTCCCCTTAGCTCTTGCTGCTTCTAGGATTCTCTCCTTCATTTTAATTTTGGCTAATGTAATTATGATGTGCCTTGGTGTGTTCCTTCTTGGGTCCAACTTCTTTGGTACTCTCTGAGCTTCCTGGATTTCCTGGAAGTCTATTTCCTTTGCCAGATTGGGGAAATTCTCCTTTATTATCTGTTCAAATAAGTTTTCCACTGGTGGCTGTGCCTTTCCCCCTTCTGGTACCCCTATAATTCGGATGTTGGAGCGTTTAAAGATGTCCTGGAGGTTCCTAAGACTCTCCTCATTTCTTTGAATTCTTACTTCTTGACTCTTTTCTGTTTGGCCATTATTTGCTTTCTTCTGGTCCACTCCATTGATTTGAGTCCCAGTTTCCTTTTCATTGCTATTGGTGTCCTGTGCACTTCCATTCATTTCAATTAGTTTCGCCTTCATATATTTGTCTAATTTGTGGCTATATCAACCAGTTCTGTGAGGATCCTGATGACCAGTGTTTTAAACTGTGCGTCTGAGAGTTTTGCTATTTCTTCATCGCTTAGATTTATAGGCTCTGG